AATATAATAAAAATAAAAATAATTATTTATGTTGCATATTTCATAACCATTTAGGTACTTGAATTGGAAATTAGAAATATAGTTAAATTAATTTCTTGTTCCATTTAAACTTATTCTCCAAGAAAAATAACCTAATTAAATAGTAAATACATATTATAGCAATAGCAATTTAGGAATATATTATACAGGTGTATCATAATATATAGGTATAAAGATATATCATACGGTAAAACAAAACATATTAAATACAGAACCATAGCAATGCTCATAAACTAGTACATTTGTTTAAAAATTATAAATATTAAGTTACAAATTACAATAGTTATCATTTCACTTCTAAGTAATCCTCTGTTCTATGTATTATTATTACAAAATAAATAATTTGTTTACATCTTTAAACTCAAAGACTATATATATAAGAATAAAAATCGAACAAAAATACTTACCAATTGCTACCAACAACACTACAAACACTACCACAATCGATACATCTAGACACGCGGTAGCGTGTCAAGCCAAGTTCTAGCTAACAGAACTGGCGAGCAGCACCGTGTGTAATATTACACGAACCATTTGGAGCCACTTTTGACCCCCTCATAACTCAAAAACTATTCCACATAAACATGTCAAATTTGGCTCATATATTGAGACTAACGAGATACATATGTGCTCTAAATTTCATAAACACACTTCAAACTGTTATTTAGATATTAACTTCCGAAAATCGTCATTTTTATCACTGACTTACCTATAGATCAAAATTCTAACCCAGTTAAAGATGACCTAGAAAGTTCAAATTTGGCATACAGATAGGTAGTTAGGTAAATACAAAGGAAAAAATCAGAAACTTCAAAATTTTTAATTTAAAATTTTTTAATTTTTAATTTTTTAATCAATTGATTTTATTATAATTTTGCAATTATTTAATCTATTATGTTTAATTTTTCAATTTATTAATGAATTGCCTCTATATTAATGTAATGTAATGTTGACTTAAATAACCTTTCCCGTATCGCCGCTCCAAAAATACGACTAGCCGAAAATGTGTCGATATTGTCGACCGGCGCGCAGCAACATACTTTTTTTTCTATCAATATATGTAATTAATATTATTTTTTTAAATATTACAATTAAAATAATTAAATAATTATTCTTACAAATTATGAATTATCCACCCAACAGTAGAAACTACAGTCAATAAAATTATGATAATTAAAAATATACTCAAAAAGAGTTCAAATAATTGTATATTAATTTTACATATTATATTTTATACTCTGTATATACAACGGAAAATATTTTATAATAAATATTATTATTAATATTAGGAACTGAATTATATTATATAGTAATAAACTTTATTTATAGAATACGTCATGGCTAGGTTAGGTTGTGTTATAATAATTTACATACAAAAAGTAATGATATCCCACCAAAAACATATATGTAAAATGAGAGCCAAGTTCAATACTATAATATATGCCTTGGTTGTTGACTTCAACGACAAAAGAAGTGAGATCTAAATGGGTGCCAAGTTAGGATAATATATTGAAGCCTAAGGTCTGACTTGGCTACGAATTATATATTATAGCATTTGCAAGTTCTAAAGCTTTGAGTTCTTATTTTATTCTTCGGAAAATCATCTTCACTCTTCCATTACTGTTTTAGTAGGTATTTATAATAATAATTCGTATATGAAAAGTAGTCAAGTCACACCTTAGGCTTCAATATATTATCCTAACTTGGCACCCATTTAGATCTCACTTCTTTTGTCGTTGAAGTCAACAACCAAGGCATATATTATAGTATTGAACTTGGCTCTCATTTTACATATATGTTTTTGGTGGGATTCAATTTTAATACGTTTACGTTAGATTCCATGTTTAAATGAAAATTGTTGAACAAATAAATTTAAAATATTTAAATTAAAATGTAATCGAGGCAAATGCCGAACGTTCATAACCACTATTAATAATAATAATAATAATAATAATTATGATAATAATAATACAAATATAAAATATTATTATAAATCGTGTTGTCACACGATAAAATCGAATAAGAACATGTAACGCATATAATATAAAATTTTAGGGAATATTGAAATTAGTTTGGTTTGAAGCTTGAATTGATAAACAGCTGACTGCTTCGGACAGCGGAATCTCGAGTTTTTGGGCTATTTACGAGCATTATCAGTTTTAAATTTTCTTAGTTTTTTTTCTATATATATCAATAAAATTTTATTTGTTGGGTAAAAAACGTGAAAATTTAATGTAAGGCTTCTGTTATATTGTTACAATAGCAGTTGAAAAATATTAAAAATACATAGGCACAATTTTTTGAAGTTATACTTCTTTACGCAGGGTAGTGAGGAAAAAAAAAGCGAACGGGCGGCGCGTACGAACGGGCGGCCTTACGAACGTGAAAGCGTACATGTCCGTAAATAAATAAATATTGTCATGGTATTGTTGTTATATTATATATATATATATATATTATCTGTATATATAAAACAGTAAGCTGATTGACTGCTATCAACGCACAGCTCAAACCATTGGACGGATCTGGTTGAAATTTGGCATACAGATAGGTATTATGATGTAGACGTGCGCTAAGAAAGGATTTTTCGAAATTAGCATTTATTTATTGGTTGCCATTGATTATTCGGGCAGATCAGGTACAAGCTTGCATCAAATCAAATTATTGAACATTACCTACCAGGGTGGCTGAGTTGCACTTACCGCAGCAAGTTACACCCAAAAGGACTTCAACAATCATAATTTTTTTAAGAGTTGTGATTTTTTACGAGCAACCAAATTTGTTATATTAATCCACCGTAATATATCATAATAAACTTGGTATAACTTTGATACTTTAGAGTTAAATCATACTGCACTTCCGTACAAACAGCACGGGGTCCGCGATCTACCGCAGGTAAATTACCTATCTGATAATGTACTGCTGCGATTCAGAATTTTTTATTTCGGGCAAAGAAAAAGATAAGATAAATTTTGAACACCATACACCGAATATTGAATAACGAATTGAACAAAGTTTGAGTCATATTGAGTTGATACATTTAAAGGGCGACGAAGTGCACGGGATCAGCTAGTATATTATAATCGGGCCACGTCAATATGACATAATAATAATATTACGTATTATAAAATATATAATGTTGGTCGGTGACAGCCACAGATATATATTTAAGTTGTGCACGTATCTATTGTGCTTTTAGCCATTGTTAATATAATAATATTGTTATTAAGTGATATAAGTAGTTCCTATTTTAATATTTTAAATTTTAATGGTTACTTGGATTTTTGTACGCACTACGTACGACTGGATTTAGTAAAAATAGTAGCTATTTTTATTTTACCTAATGATTATAATTTACAATATAATATTACCGAAATAATAATCTCGAGTTCGAACTAGGTGTGCGAATTCGCCGTCGTCGTTGTTCGCCAATCCGTTCGGTCGACGGTCGTTCGGTTACGTCATATCGTAGCACACACACACGCACAGTGTTTGTTAATTCGTAGTTCGGTTATTATTAATTAATCCAAAAGAGAAACAAGCGTTGCGAGGTAAGTGGTGGTCGTTAATATTATATAAACATTGCCAAATAAAAAACAGATTCATCTATCTTGGCCCATACTAATTAATATGAATAATTAATGATCGATTATTATTTATTCTTATTATTATTATTATTATTATTATTCACTCACAAATCTATTGTCTGGATAAAAACAATACTACAAACAATTATCCATCGACCTGTCGAATAAAAATATAAAAAAAATAATAAAACTATCAATAATAAATAATTAGTAAGTACCATTCAAAAGAAGTTTAACTTCCCGCGCGCGTACTGGTAACACACATACTTTTTTTGAAAAGTATTTAAAATTCAAATGTTGACAGAATTTATCACATTTAAAATTTAATAATAATTTTGTAGCTAAAAATATATAAAATGTTCAACGTTTGTACTATAAACTATATAGCCAAGGATTGAAAATGTAAAACAAGGCTCCACGTAAATATTTTATATATAAATTACTTTATTCATAATAATATCATAAAATAATAAGCTTGGTAATATCATAATTCATAGGCTGACTGACCGTTTTCACTCAGAATCGTTTTTCTTATACAATGATATTATATCATTGAATTCAAATTTAACACCATCCATTACAGCGACCCACTTGTAAGCTACTGTTCAGCAGAGCGACATCCACTTAACCACCTTTTTAAATTTGAGAAATTTTGTCAAAATTCGAACTTTATATGCTTATAAAAAAAATTGTGCCTATATGTTTTTTTATTATTTTTCAACTGCTATTGTAAAAATATATACTTTCATTTCTTCTCTTTTCATATATTACTGTTGACGATGATCGATTGTTGTTATAATTATTATTTTCTTTGCAATTGGACGTTTAAAACTCAAATAAATAAATAATGTTTTTTCGTTTATTATTAAAAATAGTGTTGCTATGAAATTCGTTTGCAGATTAAATCAAATAGTTTACGATCGGTAAACATTTAAACAATAATTTTTGAACTGTCCGTTCGATATACCTATGTGTTTCTCTCACAATTTATTATATATTATATACGTCAATCATTATATCGTCAAAAGCTGCAGCATCGTAACAGACATCGACGACGAAACAGACATGATTGAGATCGGTTGTCGGCAGATGAACTCGCCTTTTTGGAAATCGTCCGGGATTGTGTTCAGTCGGAGTTTCTCCGAAGAAACGCGTCTACGGTCCCGACACAAATGATAGAAGAACCGTCACAGGCTGCCGACGTATCGACGAAAATAATTGACGTCGACCGGCAGGCGGTCTGCGAAATTAACACTTTGAGTGCCATGTGTATCAATTTCAATATACAACTAATATGTTGATTTGTGCCGTGTGTATTGATTATGATACACAGCTATATGGTATACACGTTATGAAAAAAATGTCCCGGTCAGAATGGTCAGTTTTGTCATTTTTGGCCTGGCACTCAAAGTGTTAAACGGCCTAGACGCAATGTCGCGAACCGTGCAGGAATCGTCCTCGCAGACGTGCTGGTCACAATTTGTAGGAGGCGGAGGATGTGAGGCAGCGGGAAATACGTTCGTTGGCCTTGTCGTAAGTCGGGAAAAATTGACGGCTTCGGAAGTGCATCCGACGGCAAAGGATATGTGCAAGCCGACGTCGCAGTCGTGCCGAAATCCCGTCCGGCCGACGACTGTGCCGCGACCGACCGAAGTCGTTCAAGTCGAAGACGAGTCTGCAGACGGACGACCGAATGCCAAACTCTGAGGAGACTTTGAAGTGGACAACGACAGTGGCCGGCCAAGATCGTCGTCGAAAATCGTTAGGACGGATCCTGTCGGCGGTCGGCAGATAAATGATCAAGACTGCTCGGGAGGTTGTGTTGTTGGTGTGGTCCGTCGAGGAAACACCGAAGATCGTCCGAGTAGAGACATATTGGTAACCTTGTAAAATGCAAGTTACAAAAATGTGCAATTATAAAAATGTATTGTAAAAATGCTTGTATAATTTTGTTTAATTATAATAATAAATTTGTACAAACTATGTTCAATTGTTAATGTTTGTATAGTGTTGTTTGATAAAATTGTAATGAGTTATGCATATAATATCAATAAATATATGCTATATGCCTATATTACTGTACATACTGCTTGAAAATTGTATTTTTTTTTATTATACATTTCCATAAAACACGTAATTTAAGTTTTAGATGTTTTAATTTATTATAATTTTTTAGGTATACATATACAACCAATTAAGAAAAAGTTGCTCTGCTGTACAGTTGGTTACAAGTGGGTCACTGTATAATGGATGGAATTAAATTTTAATTCAATTATATAATATCATTGTATAAGAAAAACGATTCTGAGCGGAGACGGTATGTCAAGTCTGGGTATAAGACAAATTATATATACTAATGTATGGTAGGTATTAAAAAAGATTTACCTATAACAGGTATCTATAATAAATTACAAATCAATCATATAACAATATCCATTAGGTACTTATAACACGTTATACATCAATAACAAATTATGATACTATCATAAATATATCGGATTGCCGAAAATAACGTAGCACAATTATTAAGAGTAAACTATATATATATATGTTGATACTTCATGCTTAATGTGCATTAGTTTTACATATTAATAATATGGAAGTTTCAATGATCTCTTTATATATTACATTTAGCGAATTCTGAAAATTGCCGACTAGGACTTACAGTTGCCTACATTCGTGGGGTGTCAAACTACTATTATAAGAACTTATGAGCAGCATCGGCTCGCGAGTAAATATTAGTCTGAGTGGACTTGAATTAGCTTCTGCAAGTATTAAAAATGTCAAAAATTATCAACTCCAGTATCTTGTTCGATTGGAAAGTGAATATTGTTGGTGCATTGGGGAGATCAAAATTTAAAATTCACCGTAATTTTCAAAAGCGCCTAGAAAATCAAAAGAAAATTGTAGATTAATTTGTGGCCTTAAATAAAAATAATTAACAAACAAAGAAAACGATAGAATAATAATATATTTTCAATAACTTCAGTACATTTTATAATCTTAATTAATTATTATTTACGAGTGGCTGGTTTTTTTTTTAAGGGGAGGCTCAATCTCAAATTCTCCCCTTGAATAGCCACCCCTGCTTATGAGGAAACCATTGTATTCAATTTGCAAGCGTTTCAACCAAATGAAAAGTTATTTGATTATAGGAAAAAAACATAAAATAAATCAATAAGTTTCAACACATTTTGAAAATTAATTCATGTTATGCTAATATAAATATTTTGGTGTGTATAAATAACCTAACTACGATTATTTTTATTACAAAAAAATATCAAATATCGGTTGATAAGAAATAACGTGTGAATATCCAGTGTCGAAAAATGTTTATTTCAAATGCTCATCTAATTTTAATGTTCCTTTCAAATATACTTTTTATTTTTTTTAAAGGTAGACAAACTTACTACTGTTATTATAGTTTAATGTTAAAATCTCATAAATAAATAAATAAAAAAAAATCTGAGGAATATCAAATTACAATTTCAAATGTTACACATGAAAATGAAAAATGTTAAGAATTTCCAACAGAAAATAATTTGATCATTTTTGCGTATTTGAGGATTTGCTTCAATGTTTTAGAAAAAAACAATACCATGGAATATGATAATTTGGAAAACATTCGGTGAAAAAAATTATGTATCTATGGTAATTTTTTTGTTTTTGAGTTACACATAAAAAATATAGAACACATCATTGATCATTGTAAAATCGAAACATTCATCATTCCGCTAAGTATCATAGTCAATAGTTAACAATGTAAATCTTCTAATTATTAAAAAATAACCAATTTTAGTATCAGTTATTATCTTATTGAATACCACCTAAAAAATTACATTACTTTAACAGCCCGGATAGCTCAGTCGGTAGAGCATTAGGCTTTTAACCTAAGGGTCCAGGGTTCGAGTCCCTGTCCGGGCGAAATCGTTTTTTTTTAATTTTTTTAATACATTTTAATTTTTTATGAAAATACTACAATAATAATTACATCTATACTAATAATAGTTTCAAATAAAACAATTTTTTTGTTTAAAATATGTCTTTTTTAAATGATTTTTTAACTGTTTTAAACATGTTTAAAACATGATTTAATCGAGTTTAAAAAAAAATATGTAATTTATCTATTCAAAAAAAAATGTATTTTATATCTTAATTTTTTTTTAATTTGACATGTAATTTAAACACTGCTTTAAACTTAAAATTCGTTTTTGATAATAATTGATGATAAATTACTGATCTGTTACCTACATCGTGATAAATAATAATATAATATTAATATTTTGAACGGGTTTGAGCCACAATATTTTCGGATTTCCGATTATGAAATATGATACAGGTAATAATATGATATCAATGAAATAAAATTTTGTTATTTTATGTTATTTATTGGTATGTAATTTTAATAATTCTATTTCTATTAGATATTGCGTAGAATATGTACTAAAAATCTATGACCCGTCGATCTTCAACTATGTACTGTTTTAAAAGGTTGAATATTTGACTATTATAACGAACAAGTAACAACTATTATGATTTAACATTAATTTTTTTTTATCACGAGTTCGGCATACCACTGCGATGGAAAAAATTATATTTATTTATGATTACCGGAAACGAGAAAAATGGTTCATTATTGTATTATTATTATTATTATTAGAATACCGAACGGATTGTAGGCGTATAAATATTACACAAATGTTGGAAATTAAATAATAATTGTTGTTAAATTATTAAATACCTACTTAAAGGCTAATCTCCGTCGTTCCAATATGAGCCGATTCTTACTACCTACTTATGCATATTTATGCATGAGATGAACAGTATCTCCATCTAACCAAAATATAAAGAAATCGACTGAACAGGTTTAAACAGAAAATTGTTCTGTGCACCAAGTATAACTAACATTAAATCCTAAAATAAACGTCCATACTATTGTTAATTTATATCATAAAGCATTGATTTAATGAGTTTTTAAATATTTTCGTTTATTATTTGTAACAACCTATAAAACTATATAAAAAGAACAGTGTGGATAAACAGTATTTGACAATTAATGAAGTTTATAATCTATGGTTTTTAGTGATTTTAGTAGATTATATCGATAATAATTATATAGCTGACTTGCGTCCGCAAAACGGGACGCAAGTTATCGATTAAATTTACTACCTGCATGATATACTTTTTTTTAAATATAACTTTGTTTTATACCTAACTTACTTATTACTTATACAGTTATACCTACTACTATGTTATAAAATAAAATAAACATCAATGTTTTTTTTTCTTTATTGCATTTTTATATCGATTATACCGATATTTTCGGGACGCAATTAGGTTATAAAAAAAGGTTTACCTACTGATTACAGGGACACAATAGATTATGACCCTTTTTGAAAATTCCCAGATAATAATGATAATGATAATATCATAATAGTATTATTATAATGTTATTCGTTAATTTAATTTAATTAAAAAATTGCTGTCTGGGTTTTTATTAAGGGGCGTAATTCACCTGCTGATAATGTCGGACGCAAGTAGTATGCTCTCATTCCGGTAATGTATAATAAATATAATCCTAGTCAGAATTATTATAAATTAGATTATGACAACTAGGTTCAAAAATCTCATTATAAATAATATTGTGAATCACGAATTTATTGTTTACTAAATATAATATAATATACTTAATTACTATTATTACTAATTTTGTTATTTTAATAAATGTATCCAGTGGTTGAATTGGGGGGGGACGCGGGGGGACGGAGTCCAACTTCTATTTTTAAAATATTTTAGCGTACCCCTTCTAATTTCAAGAATTGATAAGACATTTAAATGTTGGGGGGACGCACAAATGTTTTATACTTTTGCATACCCCTTCTATTTTTTTTCCAATTCAAGCACTGAATGTATCATTATAAATATTATGTTATGTTCATTTTTACCTTATTGAGGACATTTTAAATTGTAGGTGTCTGCGAAATAATTAGTTATTTTTTTTTTTTTCCTCAGCTATTTAACGGAATTCAGCACCACTAATTGTAATGCGCTTTCCACTCATACCTATTGATTGGAAACAATAATTGTTAAGTCTGTTTGTTTTTCAGTCAAATGCGAATCGGACTTGATGAAACTATGACCACGAGACTCGAGAGATTATAATAACATAATAATAACAATTGCTTGGTACACTGTAAAAATAGTTTGTTTGAAACTATTAATATCGAATTTAATAATCTGATGGTTATAAATTATATTACACCCATAGAGCCGTATGTGTCAGTGTGTGTAGTTCTGTATACATACGATTTATACTCGAAAATAATACAAACAAAAATAGAAATGCATCGGTCAAATAATAATATAAATATGGTTTTACCAATAACACGCAATGGCGAAACACAGACGAAATAACTGTGCGGTAGGTGGTTTAAAATAATATAACTTTTATTTTTTGTTAAAATTGTTATTCGTTGTTTTCAATAATAAAATGATTTAATCTCCCTTAAAACTAGTATATAGGTACATTATAAAAAATTTCAAAATGTTTTTTACGCCGTCAAAAAATAGTCGCGTCCTAAAATCGTGCCACACCCGGACAGCTGTCCCTTTCGACGTTATTGCAAGTACATATTTTTCGTCTTGGTAATCAACAAAGGAAGCCCATAATGTAGTTTTTTTATTTAAACTGTCGGTAGGTAACATTG